ACAATAGTACCCCCCCCCCCCCAAAGGTACCCCCCCCAGACTTAGAACCCTATTAGGCCTTATTAAGCCCAAAGAAGTCCATATTAGCTCCTTAAACCCTGGGGGGGTATCTTTGCGGGGGGTACTATTGTATTCCCTTCAGAGGTCTGCAGAGATTCTGAAAGAGGGACATTGATGAGCTTTCTCACTTAACCTATAGTCCCCCTGAAGTAGATAGAACTTGGCTTCGGGTATATTAGAATAAGATCCCCATATACCAGATAGTCTATCTACTTAAGGGGGACTATAGCCCGATAACTTGGGAAAACAAAAATATTCTTTTTGCAGGGCTGTGAGAAAATCCAATCCCCAAGAAGCATCAACGATTCCTAACAGGCCCTAAACCTCAAAATGCGCGAAGGCCCTAACATTGACCCTAAGCCCATAAAACCCCAAACCCAAAACCCGAAGCATAAAAACCCAAAACCTTAAAAACCTTAACCCTAAACCGCGTGTAGGCCCTAACGTTGACCCAGTGAAGGTCCCCGCCTGGCAATGGGTCGCCTGAAATGTCGGTGCTGGCTAGCAGCTTGATGGCCTTGCAGGGGCACAATATAGGGTTGAGGACTTCAAGGTATTCCAGGTACCCTGACCCCTGCAAGGGTTATAATGAACTTGCCCCACCCCCTACCAGAAGGACCCTAAATGTGTCACATGCCTATACATGACTACACTGGGGTCCGACTTTGGGTGTTCGGGCTACTAAAACCTCGTTATTCCAAGAATGCGGGAGTCTTTGTTTAGGAGTCACCATTGTAAGAACTCTAATATTCTGGGGGGGGGGGGGTCTAAGGGGACACTAATACACTACAAGCCGGAAGCACCATGACAAGACTGAAATGATGTGCGGCAAGGCTTTGAGTTAAGGGTGCAAATTCCCGATCTCCAGCTCAAACTCCAAAGCCCAAAATCCAATTCACTACCCGTCAAAATCAAGATCTCCCAACATGCTCCCCAAAGTCTGGGATCCCGATGATAATGGTGATGATGATGATGGTGATGGTTAACCCCCTAAATTTCTGAAAAGGCCAGAAGGTCTTAACCTCAAAAATGGAGGTTCTCAAAATACAGGTGGGATTACAAAGGTCTAACGCTCTATTTAGGCAAAGCTTATTTTCCCAAATAAAAGCTTCAGATGGCTTCGGCATCGTCCAGCAGCGCCGCCAGCGCCAGGGGCCGAATACCGCCGACCCCGGCCTGAGCTTTGCATGTGGAATTGCTGAAACTTGGTACTGTAGGAACCTGCATGAGCCATAGTCTAAACTCCTTAAAGGGGGTTATATGGGGGATTTTATATGGGACTACTGTTGGGGTTATTAAGGAGGATACTAGGAGTTTAGACAATGGCTCACATGACTACCAAAAACATAATAAGGTCTATTTGAGGCACCGCATGCCATGCACCATGATCATACAAGAAATCCAGGAACCCTGCACCTTCTTGCCGTCATGGAGATTATAAGCGGTCTGGGGTCCCTTCGTAGATTCAAGAACCCACGGTGGATCGCATGAAAAATCTCCAGGACTCCTGGACTCCCGTAAACGCAGAGGCCTAAAGACCAAACACTGAGAAAAGGAAAGCTCGGCCAAGCAGCGCAAATTGCCACAACCTTGGGGTCGGAGCCCACCTCGTCGAGCACCTGCTTGAAGGCCTCGTGGGCCTTCGCCACTTTGCCCTCCTCAGGACACAAGCGCCGCAGCAGGGTCCAGCGGTGTGGCTCCAGGACTGCACGCACGTGCTCCTGGGCCAACTGAGAGCCTGCTGTGCGGGGGATGCCCGCTGGCTGGGGCCGTACCCCACGCTGCAACAGTAAATCACAGGCACGGTCCAGTCCGCCCAAGGCTGCCAAGTGAAGGATGTTGCTGTCGGCCTCAAGTCCCAAAGCTTCGCAAGCCATGCTGCCTAAGGTTGGCTCGTGGCCCCAGGTCTGTGCGAGGAGCAGCTTTGTCGCCTCATCGTGGTCCCGCGCCACTGCCACACCAAGAGCCGAGAGGCCGTTGACGCGGGTCCTGAGCTCCGCCCGGGTGTTGATGAGAACGCGGAGAGCGCCTAGCTGCGAGGTAGCTGCAGCAAAGTGCACCGCTCGGCCGGGAACTGCTCCTATGCGCAGGAGCAAGGCCAGGGCCTGCAGGGCACCTGTGGAGGCTGCGACCTCTGTTGGGAGGACGCCGCTACTATCGCGGTGTGGGTCTGCCCCACAGGCCAAGCACATCTGCAAGACTTCGAGGTCGTTGTTGGCTGCGGCCAACCACAGCACAGACGGCTGCTCCCGGCCGAGAGCGCTGAAGTCCAAGTCGAGCCCGCGCACCAGGAGCTCCTGAATGACCTGCAGCCACGCAAATTCAAGTCAAGCAACATGTTTTCAGGATCGTGAGAATTTGCGGCCAAGAAGGATCTTCATGGTGGGGAGCTAGGCTGAGCTACGGGCTAGAGTCGACTGGCTTGGGGATCGAAATCCCTGAAGGGTATGTTATTGCTTGTAAACTGATCTTAACAACTGGCTTGCATTTTGCGTTTGATTGGTTTTGGGGGCTTCCGTGGAACCCCCGGAAATAAAACCACCCAAGGAACAAAAAAGCTCAAGCCCAGAGTGTCTTTCTTGACTGGGTTGGGATTGCTAGAGAAAACCATTTGACTACACAAACCACCATTCACCAGCATCACAGACCCTGTGTAAGCCCATAAACTATGCAGCAGTTCCCATCTAATGTTACGATTGATTTTCCGTTTCATTCTTTATGATTAGGGCGCCGCTCGCAGCGGCTGCAGCAGCAGCAGCAGCAGCAAGATCAAGGTGCGGGTTTCAAAAAATGAGGGGCCCAAGTAAAGATCCCAATATACTGTAGTACTCAGTGGGGACTCGCAATCAAGAGTCCCAACTTCCAGAAATCCCACATCTGACTTGAATTGCTGATGCTTGTACCTATGCCGGGTCAAGGCTACCAATGCCTGCTTTTGGGACTCATGTCTCCCAGCGTGTTAGCCACCAGAAACGACCATGCAGTCACACAAGAAAGGTGAAGATGACCTCGACCTCGACTATCTGGGTTGTTTTTAAGGAACTTAGTTTCAGCCACGATGTCGGGGGAACTATATTACCTACTCTATATATATATATATATGGTAGTTTCCCAAAGTAAGGGGACCCCAATATAGACCCCAAAATACTATAGTCCTCATTATTGGGACCTCTAAAATTAAATGGTACCCGGGAAACCCCCATATACATATACCTATTATAGTAACTTCATGTAAGTTCCTTCATAGCAACCCAGAAGGTGAAGCTGACCTCAACCTTGACTGTTCGAGCTCTCGGTCTCGCACCTTCTCCCCATGACCTCAATCCTGAAGCCCAAAGGTTTAGGGTTTAGGGTTGTTTAGGGTTTAGAGTTTGGGTCGCGCACACCCTTTTTTTCTGTTCCTCCCATAAACTTATACAATTCTTATTTCCCATGAAATGCCCGGCCCCTGCAACAGAGATCCCATGTCTGGTAGTTGTTCAAAAACAACATGTGCCCCACATGGCCATGAAGTAGAGCTATAATCTACACTCCTGGTATTCGCCTGAATAACCTTGTAATAGTCCCCTATATTATCCCCTATACATGCACCTTTAAGGAGTTTAGACTATAGCTCACATGGCCATAAACTACAGCTCATTTCGGTTAGGCACCACCGTCCAAGGCAGTGCATTCATTCCCAAGGGGCCCTCCTTTCAAAGCAAACCCTGGATCCTGTAGAGCCCTATATGGTAGTTTCCCTTAATAAGGGAACTCCAGTATAGACTCCAAAATACTCTAGTCCTTATTATAGGGACCCTCAAAAAGGCACCCCTAATTTTGGGAACTACCCTATATTTAACTCCAAGCCTAAACCCTAAACCCTAAACAACCCTCAACCCCAAACCCTAAACCCTAAACAACCCCAAACCCTAAACCCTAAACTCCAGACCCTAAACAACCCTAAACCTCAAACCCTAAACAACCCTAAACCCTAAACCGTAAAGAAAACCTTCAACCCCGAGCCCCTGAGGCCCTGCTTGCGCCTGCAGGCGCTTTGGGGCCCGGCTGTCAATGGCCTGCTTTGGGGGGTTCAGGGAGGCTCAGTAAGGAAGGGTTTAGGGGTTTAGGGTTTGGAGTAGAAAATGGGGTTTAGGGTTTAGGGTTAAAACCACCACGTAATTCAGGGTTTACGGTATAGGAGGAGTTAGTAGATATACTTTATCCTTCCGGTAAGCCACATGGTAACCTCGGCTCGGTCGTCCCCATTTCTCACCTACTTACTGTTCCCCCCTCACCCTCCTTGGCAGGGTTGTGCTCAAGATTTTGGGGCTTGCTGGATTGCTTTTAAAGAACTTGCACTAAGTTACTGTAAGAAACCCATTTATTTACCATATAGCCAGAATTTGGTAATTTAAGCTCCTTAAATCCCTATATTCCCCCAGTTTCCATTTCATTTTCCATTTTCTTTTCCATGTGATTCTCCATTATAGGGGGATAATCCCTAAATTTAAGTTCCTTAACAGCAACCCAGGAAGTTCATTGGCGAAGATGGGGAAGAGGAGGATGGTGAGGAGCCTGTGCTCGGAAGTGGGAGTTGGGGTTAGGATGTAGGGTTGGGGGTGTTGGGTTTAGGGTTCTATTAGGGTCATATTAGGGCTATATAGGGTTTATATACGGATAATGGAAAAGAAAATGGAAACTACTATTTAGGGTTTAGGGTTTGGGGTTCAGGGTTTAGGGTTTAGGGATCACGGTTTAGGATTGAAGGTTTAGGATTCAGGTTTTAGGGACCCTAAACCCTAAGCCCTAAACCCTAAACCCTTGGGCATTCCTGGAGAGTTTCCAAAGTGGGATGAATCTGGTGGTACGAGGGGGAAGTCAGCCTATTAAGGATACTGTAGGGGCCGTCTTGAGGAACACTTATGTCAACCCTAAACCGTAGACCCTAAACCCTAAACCCTAAAGGATCAGGCAGTTTGTTTTGGTCTTCTAGCCACTTTTTTCGTATGGTATTTTATTCCAGAGATAGTTTTGCATGGGCTTGCTCTTAGGATCTGAAACTCTTACAACATAGCCAGGCCCTAAACCCTAGACCCTATACCCTGAACGCTAAATCCTAAATCCTGGACCCTAACTCCCAAACCCTGAACCCTAAATCTGAACCCTAAATCCCAAACCCTGAACCCTAAATCCCAAACCTTGAACCCTAAATCCCAAACCCTGAACCCCATGTTCAGCGGAATTCATATGGAATGGTCCAGTCTATGTGCTTCAGCACTAGAACAAGGACCGTGGATCCTCCATAGAAATTGTAGAAGGTGCCTCCATCCGTAGCCTCCCTTTTGGTACTATTGGGATTTAGGGTTTAGGGTTATAGGGTTTAGGGTTTATAGGTGGACCCCCCACCCTGTAATAGTGACTATAAGGGATATTAGGGTCCTGTTATATTCTTATTATACCACTATTACAGGGTGGGGGGTCCTCCTAAGCTATATTGAAGACTAGTATGGTTCCAAGTTCTAAGTCCAAGCTTTGTAGCTTTGGAATTCATTGGTAGAATTGGAGTATGATACGACGGGACACCATTCTGTAGCTTTACCACCCTTCCTACTTTATGTCTTAGGGTTTTGGCAGCAACCTCTTTCCCCTAGACCCTTAACCCTCAGCCTTCGGGTTTAGGGTTTAGGGCTTCCGTAACACTAGGATGTGAACACCCAGGGCTGCTGACCTTGTGGGAAATTCTTTGCATAGGGGCCCTGGGGATACATGAAGATGATAAGGGGCTTATGGGGCCCTTACTACAGATCACAGAGGGTACGTCGCTTTAAGAAACATCCACCCGACATATGGGTTTTAGGGCTCTCCAGGAAGCAGGGGTAGATTGTTACTCGTGCCAGGAACTGAAAGGCGAGGATACTCGGGTTTAGGGTTTCTAGTTCCCCACAGCCCTAAACCCTTCCGAGGAGGACGACAAGCTGATGGATGCAGTTCTAGAAAGAGTCCGTGCGTCAAAAAAAGCCGACTGAGCTGCGCATGGAGGCTCTGGGATGCACAAGGACTGTCCACACATGAGCCAGAGCCTAAACTCCTTAAAGGGACTATATAGGGGAGTACTAAAGAGGGCAGTACTATAGAGGTTCTTACGCGCGATGCCAGGAGTTTAGACGAAAGTTCACATGAATTTTGTGTGGATGTTTCTTCAGTGCCAATTTTGGGTGGCATCCCGCATTGGTCGCAGGGGAGCCTACACCTCCAAACTCTATTCCAACCTCTACACCTCTGAAACTCTGACGGTGTTCACCATCAGACTCTAGACCGTCCTAAATCCAAAAACAGGGTGCATCCCCTACCTGGGTATTGGTCTAAATTCCCCATAATACGGGGTCCTATATTTGGGTTCCCATTATAATACGGGGCCCTATATAATTTTCCCCCATTTTGGGAACAGTAATTTAGGGAACCTCCCATATAGTATATACTTGGGCCCTCAAGTAATTTATGGGAACCCCTTTGG